TAAAGAAGCTTGCTCCAGAGAGGGAGAGGCCAAGAGTTCTGTTTTTGATGGCCACTCACAAGCTTTTAATGTCTCAGCTGCAACTCAGTAATGAGAACCTTGTCTTTATGAACTATGTTGCCTCAGTTGACTTAGTTTTCACTGAGTCTATAGTTCGAAACCCTCAAGTCCCAGGACTCATTCCCTCAAGGTATTTGTTATAACTCTCCCCCTGTAAGTTCGATATACTTTTATGTATATCTGTTGCATATACAAATGCATCTTATGAAGTAAGATTCCTTGGTATGGCTCTTCTATTCACTGTTTTTGTTACTGCCACCAAATGTCTGTGTGTGTGCATGCACATAGAATTTACAGGACTCATGAGGAGATTAGGAGCCCTGGTGGCGTAGTGGTTAAGACTTGGGCTGCTAATCACATGGCCAGCAGTTGAATACCACCAGCCATGCTATGGGAGAAAGATGGCGCTTTTTGCTCCAGTAAAGAGTTACAGTCTCAGAAACTCACAGGTGCAGGTCTATGCTGTGCTGTAGGCTTGCTATGAGCCCCTATCAATGAGGGTAGTGAGTTTGAATTTTTTTTCAAATAAGGGGATTGATCAGTTACACATTCCCTGGGCATAAAGTGAACCACGTCAGAAGCAAGAACAGAGAATGTCATGCCCACCAAAAAGGAAGAGCCAGAGGGAAGTGAGTCCAAGGTTTTTGCCAAGAAAACAGGTGGTGGAAAGTAGCAGAGGTAGCAGAGCAGCAGCAGAGATCAGGAGGCAGTGTGATGGGCTACTGGGCCTAGGGAATGAGTAAGCGGAGTACCTTATGACATCAGAATCTTGAAAGGAGCTTTGTAACCCTCATTGAAACAGAGCAAAGGCCCTAGGGCCACAAAGCTGAGAGGTCAAAGGCCAGGGAGAGAGAGAGAGAGAGAGAGAGAGAGAGAGAGAGAGAGAGAGAGAGAGGTCTGCTGGCATGACTGAGAAGAGGTACTGGGGCCAATAATATTCTTGTATCCTCAGTGTTTTCTGATCCTGACTTGTAAACTGTTAACTTCCTTACAAACGGACCAAATCATGAGCATTGCTGTGAGTTCTGTTGGCCACGGCACATGATTATTAAACGTATCAGAAGGATAGAGTGCCGTGGAAGGGATGGCTAGTGTTAGAATACGGGAAAGGGAGTTGGAGGGCAGAGGAACATCTGGCTTCTGCCCTGTAGGAAGTGGTCTAGGGCTGGTGTGGAACTGGATTATCTCTTCCCCTTGTGTCGTCAAAGTTAGTCAGACGTGGCCCCCATTCTGTTCTTCAGATTTGTAGAAATATCTTCTGACAAACTTCCATACACCATTCCACACAAGTTCAGTTTACATGTCTGCCTAGGTATCCACTGATGGTTTATTACTGCCATTGCAGGATTGTGTACATACCAGTATTTGTTGTGGTTGCTTTTTTACTTTTGCATACCTCCCACTGTCTTCTGATGCCTTGCTTATGTTGTGCTGACCTCCCTGTCATTGTTGTACTACCCATCACTTTATAGCCGAGTTAATGCATGTTTGCTATCTGTTGTTAGATGTTGTCTAGTTGATTGGGACTTGAGTACATCCATATGCACAATAGAGTGAAATGTTGCTCGATCCTGCACCACCCTCACAATTATTGCCTTGTTCAAATCTATTGTTCTAGCCACTTCGTCAATCCATTCCATTGAGGGTCTTCCCATTTTTCACCGACTCTCTACTTGACCAAGCATGATGTCCTCCTGCTCCAGGACTGGCTTCTTCTGATGACATGTACAAAGAATGTGAGACAAGGTCTAGCCGTTATTGCTTTTAAGGAACATTCCAGTGGTATTTCTTCCAAGACAGTTTGTTCTGACAGTCCATGGTGTATTTAATATTCTCCACCAACACCATAATTTAAAGGTGTCAATTCTTCTTTTGTCTTCATTGTTCATCGTCCAGTTTTTGCATGCACATGAGGCCATTGACAATACCATGGCTTGCGTGAGGTACACGCTAGCCTTGAAAGTTGCATCTTTGTTTTATAATACTTCAGAGAGGTCTTTTGTGGCATTTCCTGCCAGCACTTCATGCTGTTTCGTTTCTTGACTGCTGCTTCCATGAGGTTTGATTGTGGGTTCAAATAAAAAGAAATCCTTGATGACTTCCGTCTTTTCTCTGTTTGACATGAGTTCCAGTTATGAAGACGTTTGTTTTCTTTATGTTGAGAGGTAATATGCACTGAAGATGGTAGGCCTTGATCTTCATCACTAAGTGATTCCAATCCTCTTCATTTTTAGCTAGCTAGGTTGCGTCATCTGTACATTGCAGGTTATTCATGAGTTTTCCTATAATCTTGATGCCTTGCTTTTTCCCCATTGCAGTCTCTCAGATTATTTGTCAGTATATAAACAGAAAAAGTATGGTAACTGGGTACAACCCTCATACACAATTTCCTGATTTTAAAGCACATACTATCTCTGTTTTGTTTGATTAATTGCCTCTTGGTTCAGGTTCCAGATGAGTACAATGAAGTGTCTTGGGATTCCTATTCTTCTTAGTATTATCCACAGTTTATCATGATCCACACAATTGAATGATGCCTTTTCATACTTAATAATACACATAATCATCTTTCTGGCATTGTCTACTTTCAGCTAAGGTCTATCTGATGTCACATTAATATCTCTCCTTTCACATCTTCTTCTGAATTTGACTTCAATTTCTGGGAATCCTTGTTGCTGTACCAAATTTTACTTGCATGTGACACTAAGAATAAGGTCTGATAATTTACATATTCCATTGAATCACCTTTCTTTAGAATTGACATCTTTGCCTTGGATTTAACAGGCCAATAAAATTTCTTCGGAGCCCTTGTTTTGATGGACACTTGTTCTCTGGCTCATACGGGTAATCCAAGACTCATCCCTGCTAACAATTCATTCTATAAAGTCATGAACAATAGTTTCAATCTTGCCTAAAAGATTGATGGAAGATCAGCTCTTTGGGTTGGTTGATCTTTGAGCAATGTTTTTCACACCGATCGAGCCCAAAGTTGACTGAGGTCAAGGTGTGGTTTTTTAAAATTGAAAATATGAAATCATCCAAGAGCCCAAATTCCATAGCTATTGCATCAGTGGGAATTCTATGGTTTATTCCAACAGTTTCTGGACCTCAGTGATAGTTTCTCCATTTGTCTAGGCTGACAGTCATTCCTCTTCTGGTGTCTCTTTGAGGTTTTCCCAACCTTCTTTAGAATATTTGATCCATCTAAAACCTTGTTTTTATATAGGGCAGTATTCCTTCAAACATGTTGCAAAACTTCAGTGATTTGGGAAGATGTCCACTTGAGTCCCATCAATAAACTTGAAGTTCGCCCTGACCTCAAAATAGTACTTTTTCATGGCACAAAAAATATCCCTTCTTTGAAGGCACCACAAAGAGAAGTTTCTGACAGAGATAACTTCTTTGCATTCAGGCTGTTTGGCTGTTGGCTTCGAACAGCTGGATGTGTGGATAGCACCCCAACGCATTATCACTAGCAGAGACTAATCCCTGGAGAAGGACAACGTGCTTTGTAAAGTGGAGGGGCAGCAAAAGAGAGGAAGACCTTCAACCAGATGGACTGACCCGCTGGCTGCAGCAATGGACTCAGACAGAACCATCGTGAGGATGGTGTTGGACTTGGCATTGTTTCACTCTGCTGTGAGTCGGGATGGACTTGACAGCACCCAACAAGAATGACAAATGGCTGATACTGAGCAGCATCAATGAATTTTGGGATCTCCTCTTGCCAAATTCATCCTGGAGTAGAGATGGTGGTTATTTCATAAAGTATGGCATTTTCACTTTCCTTGGGGGAGGCCTTTGTTCATTTATGGCTAGAGGATCTCATGGACGCTTGCATCTTATGATGCTGAGAAAGTTTTAGTTGTGCTTCCAGACTAAGAAGAACTAAGAAGAAAAGCCTAGAGACCCACTTCCCCAAATAAGCCAGTGTAAATCCTTGGATCACAGCCATCCAATCCATAAGTAATCATGGGGATGACACTGGAGAGGCAGTAGTGTGTTTGTGTGTGCATGGGTTGGTTAAGTCAGGACTCAGTTTGATGGCAGCCAACAACAACGACCATAACAGCATTTGGATTGGGAGTCGATCAGACCATCAAGAAGAGTGACAGTAATGGTGGCACACAAATAGAAAAAAAAGATGGACCATTGGATGGCATGTGGGATAAAAGCCTAATTGGAGATATCAAAAGGAGCCTTGATGGTACAGTACATAAGCACCCAGCTGCTAATCAAAAGGTTGGTGGTGATTCAAAGTAAACTGTGGTAGTCTATTTCCATCAAGATTCCAGTCTAGACAATCATACAGAGCAGTACCACCTTGCATTGTGCAGGATTACTGTGAGTTAGAATCAACTTGACAGAAACAGATATTTTTAGGCAACAAGGGTGAAGAGCTTAGTATTAATAATTATTGCTAACATTTATGGAGTGTTTACGAGGGGGGGTCAGACACTTCTACTTCTCACCCCAACCCTAAGAGTTGTGCCTTGTCATCACTGTTTTAAAGATGATTAGGTCAACTCAGGAAGTTTTAGCAGAGTTTCCAAGATCATACAGTTGTTAACTGGCAGATTGGAGATTTGAAACTAGATGGTCCAACTCATAGGCTCTACCCCTTATACATACCCAAGAATTCAAGGAATGAAAGTACTGAACGAGAAGAGGGGTTTGTAATCTGGGAATAAAATATAATGACTTAAGATTTTGGTGTTAAACTATTTCTAATGGTTGCAGCAAAACAAGAGCAAATCAAAACTCTTGAAGAAAATGTGTAGCTGAATTCAGCTGAGAGACAATGATGGTTGGATTTAAGGAGTCTCAACATGTGAGGCAAAGCGTTGCATGGTTGAGCCATCATTAACGCCCATGTCCCAACTTTGATCTGTTCTTAGGGGCCGTGCCTGTGCCATTAGCAGGCCTAGTTCTTTGAGCATATGGAGGATGCAAACCAAACAGGGATGATTCACTTCCACTTCCGCCCCTTTTCCAAGCTCCCTGAGGTGCAGATGCTGATTTTTGTGGTTTTTTTGATTATGTACCTGGTCAGCCTCAGTGGCAACATATCCATTTTCCTGATCATCTGGATCCATCATTCTCTCCACACCCCCATGTACTTCTTCCTGGCTAACTTGGCAGCCCTGGAGATGTTCTATTCCTCCACCATTGCCCCTCTGACTCTGGCCAGTGTCCTGTCCCCTGAGAGAACCATAATTTCCCTTCCGGGGTGTGGTACCCAGATGTTCTTCTTCATCTTCCTGGGCAGCACGGATTGCGTTCTGCTGGCCATCATGGCGTATGACCGGTTTGTGGCCATTTGTCACCCTCTACATTACACTCTCATCATGAGCTGGCGGTTGTGTGTCCAACTGGCTGTCGGGGCTCTGGTGCTGGGATGCATTTTGGCCATGCAATTGACTGTGCTCATCTTCCAACTCCCCTTTTGCAGCAGCAAAGAAATCAGCCTCTTCTACTGTGATGTTCTCCCTGTCCTGAGACTAGCCTGTGCAGATACTCGGGTTCATGAGGCTACTCTGTTTGTGGTCAGCATCACAGTCCTCGCCATCCCATTCCTGCTCATCTCTCTCTCCTATGTCTTCATCGTGGCTGCCATCCTGAAGATCAGCTCTTCAGAGGGGAGGCACAAGGCCTTCTCCACCTGCTCCTCCCACCTCACTGTGGTCCTCCTCCAGTACGGCTGTGGAAGTCTCATTTACTTGTGCCCCAGTTCCAGCTACTCTCCTGAGAGGGGCCAAGTAGTGTCTGTGGTTTACACGTTTGTCACTCCTGTGCTGAACCCCTTAATCTACAGCATGAGGAACCGAGAGCTTAAGGATGCTCTGAAGAAAGCATTGATGAGGCTCTTGCTGCCCCAAACACCATGAGTGCTCTGAATGTTTACCTGGCATGTTGTTTGGGGAAGACCGATGAGTATATGATCTGAAAGATATGGAGAAGAGGCAACCCAAAAGCCATTGGTTTTATACTTTTACTTCTTCCTGATTATGTGATTTTTTTAAAAAGGTCTTTTCTTGCTACTCCATCTCAGGGTTTCCATCTGTAGAATGGGAATTAAAACACATGCACTATCTAAATTTTATTGTTGCTTTTAGTTGCCATCAAGTGGGTGCTGACTCATACCAACTTCATGTATAATTGAGCAAAATGTTGCCGGGTCCTTCATTATTGCTGGTTTCCTTGACTCTATTTGTGCGGTTGCGGTGTTATGTCTTCCAAGCTGGTAATAGTTCTAGTATAGCTATGGACATTAAACGATATAGTCAGACACAGTGTCTTAGGACTTCTAACGTGAGATATAGTGGTGAATGGTGATTATTAATGCTTTTAGCCCTGGCAGGGTTGCAATCCACATGGTCAGCAGTTCGAAACCACTAGCATCTCCCTGGGAAAAAGACTGGCCTTTCTAGTCCCTTAAACAGTTACAGTCTTAGAAACCCACAGGGGTTCCCTGTGAGTCAGCATGATGCAATGGCAGTGGGAGTTTGACCACTTCGTGTAAAGTTTGCATCCTACCTTGTAACAGTCACCAGAGATACTTGATAGGTGCTTAGGCAGTCCTAATGGTACATCTTGGTGATAGTGATGTTAGGGTTAAGATGCAAATCCTACTGGACAATCTCAACTGCTCTTTAATGAATTCAGTGGTCTAAATGCTAAGCATGTGTCTTTTTGCAGAATTTATCTTTTATTCTAAAATATCATCTATCGAAAGAGAATGAAGACATCACTGGGGTTTAAAGGTTTGGTATTTTCTCTTTTCTTACCTTTAAGAGCCAGAACCAATCTGCCTCCATATTCATCTATGGCCGTGTGATGTTTTGCCTTCTAGTTCCTTTACCCATCTGTGTTAGTCTGGGTACTTTAGAGAACAAATCCACAGAAACTCATGAATAAGAGAGAGTTTTATATGAAGGTTACGTGCATATCAAGAAAACATCCCAACCCAGTGCTGCCCAAGCCCACAATTCCAACATTAATCCATATGTCCGACAACAACCCACAAAGTCTTCCTCCATCTCACAAAACACACGCAATGATGCCGACTACAGGAGAAAAGCTGAGTCAGTGAGTGTGTAAGTATCTCAGCACTGGCAGGGGTCTCTACACAGCTGCTCCAGCACCCAGGGCTGCATCAGGGTAGGTCCATGCGGCTTCTCCTAGGGCATGTTTTGCAGAAAGTGAGCCTTGCCAGCTAAAGCAGGGAACTGGCTAAGGCAGTTGCACCCTAGTCTGACCATCAGAAAGCAAGAGACCCGAGAACTAGAAAGGCGAGGCTCACCGAGCCATTTATCCCTCCGCCTTTCAATTAACCCCATATGTGTTTATTGGCCAGGTTGGCACAATAAATGAACTACCTCACCATCCTATTTTTCCATATTCTCTCCTCCACCCCCCCACTCCGCATATTTCCCTGTCTTTCTAGTTATCCCTACCTATGTATGCGTTACTTAGAAACATTGTTTTACTAATCAAGCCTCTCTCAGTGGAATGAGGATAATGTTTGTTCCAATCTGGAAGAAGAGGGAAGAGCAAAGCTAGTCCTTTGAAGACAAACAATGAATGGATCCATTTCAGTGGGGAAAGGACTAAGAGTCATATGGCTCTAAAGATGCTGACTAAGATGATAACCATTTTCACGTGGGTCCTTTCCTTCAAGGTGCTGGTATCAGAACAAGATAGTTTACTATATTATTGCAGCACAGAGGAAGCTAATTTATTCCTTTCTCATTGATAATTTTTATTTATCCTTTCACCAACTATTATTGAAATGTACTATGCACTATGCACTACCTCTGGTGAATAGAGTACAAAATGCCAAGGTGCGAAGTAAACCCTGCCTTCAAGGAAGCTATGTCTAGTGGGATGTAAGAACATATGTCACGATTACACCAAAAGCCAAGTGTTACAACATGGTGACAGTTCATAGGAGGAAACAGGAAAGCTATTCAAAGAAAGTTTGATGGGAGGAGGTGGCATGTGAACTGCATGAGATGGGGCTCTAGGATTCTGGGGATGCAGAAATGAACAAGAGGGCATTTCACAGAGGAAACTGTAATAGGAGAACTGGAAATCATATCTGTGTCTCTGCTTACATACATTTTTGTGGAAGGATAGAGTGCTACCTTTACTCATTATTTTTGAAAGAGAATCACAGTCCTGAAAGATAAAATCTAATAGAATTCCTTTTACATGGAACTGAAATTTGACCAGAGCCATGTGAGTAACAAGAACCCAAGAGAACACCTATGGTTCATTTTAGGATTTCCAAGTGCTTCTTACCAGCTCAGTCATGGCTGATGATGTGAAACTGTACTGGATGCCAATCTGTTAAACATTCCTGTACCAGAATGATAACTAGAATAGGTAAGCATGATTGACTGGTGCCATGCTAGACAACCTATTGACTGGTAGAGTTGGAATCAATGGTGTCTGGCTCTAACATGGTGGCCAGTGTGTTGTCTTGAAAGTGCGTGGCTCATCACAGCCTGGTAGTAATTCAATCATTTGTGTTAAGCTCTTGAAAGGTCTCACTATGCCTCTTCTGAACCTCTCATTCCAGAGGCTCCAACCCATAAAATTTCCTACTCTGGTTATCATTCCTGCCCACCCACATTTAATACATCCAAGTCTGATCTGTTTTTGCTGCATCAGCCATGACTAAACTAATTCCTACTGATCTGATGTCTTGGTTCATTGAT